GATATTGGCCTTATAGAATGAGTTTAGAAGTGCTGCCTCTTTTTTATTACCTGAAATAAGTTGAAGAGTATTGATATGAGTTCTTCTTTAAAGGTCTTATAGAACTCAGCTGTGTATCCATCCAGTCCTGGGGACATGTCACTCAGGAATGGTTCATTACCAGGTTTATCACTTTGCCTTATGAACCTGAAAAAAAAATGAAGCATGTGTCAAAAATGAGACAAAGTGACTGATTAGACCCCAAATAATCTGACCACTATAATATTGAGAACCAAAGTTAGGTCAAACAGGGAAATAAACAGTAAATAAACTTTTTTTGGAGGAGGGGGGTTGAACTCAGGGGCACTCAACCAGCCCTGTTTTGTATTTTATTTAGAGAAAGGTTATCAATGAGTTGTTTGGCTTCTCACTTTTGCTGAGGCTGGCTTTGAACTCACAATTCTGCTGCCTCAGCATCCTGAGCCACTGGGATTACAGGTATGTACCTCCACACCTAGCAGGAAATGAACAGTTGTATACACGATCTCCAGAATGCCTATCAATTTGGTGAGAATTGATGTAAGTACAAATTTAGAGAATTTAACTATGATAAGTTTAAAGTATTTCACAAGTCAAAACACAAACTAAAGCTCTACAACCACCAAAAATAAAAATAAGCCACTGTAATAACAATGTTTAACTGTTTTGTTAAAGCTCAGTACAACAAAAAACTGGGTCATTCTATTTTAGGGGCTGTAAAGGAAAAAAATAAGTTCACCCAAACTCTATAATGAATTGTCATTTCTGCAAAAGTGAATGTCTTTACAAAGGCAAGTGACAGCCAGAATGAAGTATCTCTACTTAGAGTGACAGTGGGAAGCTGTATGGAATCTCTTAAACACAGGTTATTGGTAATCAAGAGTGTAAAATGAAAAGTTTTATAAAATGCAATGACCAGAAGCCAGCAAACCTATTTTTGAATTTCTAACATGCTCCAAGTTCTGCCTGGTATTCACCAGGAGATCTTGAAAACCTCTGGCATGCCTCCTTGAATTCATAGATAATGCCTGCAGTCCAGCAGCCAGTGGAGTTTATTCTACTTATGAATACATGCAAAAGCCACAAATTTATATAACAAAAAAGGGAAAGAACAACACAACCCCATCTATCAAGGAAACAATCAAGGTTTTAAATTTAAAAAAAGATGCCACTGAAGATCCAAACATCATTTCATTGACAAGGTGAAAAAATTTTCCAAGAAAGTTTCCCAATTATCTCGTCTATTGATACTTGAATTATTCTTGTTACAGGACTTACTCATTCTCACAAGACTCTAAAAATACCCTGGTTCCTGGTGGCAGAGCTTCATAGCTCAGCTTTGGGCCCTGCCTGCTGTCCTCTAGTGGGCATCAGGAAGTGCCACATGAATGAAGAAAAAAAAAATCCAGGCAATTTGTTTTTGGTACAGAGGGACTGATCTTTCTGTGTAGAATAACTGGAAAAAGGATTTCAGCCTATTTCATTACTTTCTAGGTTTATTTAGATATTTCACAAAGGCAATATCTGAATGAAAGCTCAAATAATGCATTGTGAAATATATCTGTAAATCCTGTTTCCCTGAATGGCCAAGAGTCAATTGCGTGGCTTACAAAAGTGGTTTTATTTAAAATGTTACTCTGGGGGCTGGGGATGTGGCTCAAGCGGTAGCGCGCTTGCCTGGCATGCGTGCGACCCGGGTTCGATCCTCAGCTCCACATGCCAGCAGGGATGTTGTGTCCACCGAAAACTAAAAAATAAATATTAAAAATTCTCTCTCTCTCTCTCTCTCTCTCTCTCTCTCTCTCTCTCTCTCTCTCTCTCTCCTCTCACTCTCTCTTTAAAAAAATAAAAAAATAAAATGTTACTCTGGAAGCTATTGTTCTTAGTTTATTGTGCTCTTACACAGTATTAAGAGTCTTTATTTCTGCAGGAGAAAGACTATTTCACTATATTTTATGTATAAAAGTTTTAATCAGCTCCTGACACATCCAACAATCAAATTCATTTTTAGTGGAAAAAGAAACAGCAGGCATCAATTATTGGCATTTGCTACACACCATGTACTTTAAATATGATATTTATTCATACCTGCAGAACTATGATGAGGAATACAAGTGTGTTTTAATGTTATATATTCAAACATCACTTTCTTGGTTCTGGATTTTGTATCAGCATATTATTAAAACCTTCCTCTATGTTTCTTATTTAATGTTTACAGGTTTGGCCCATCACAAGTTATTTTTCTGTAAGAAGCAAAGCAGAGAATGGGGTCTGAAGTTTGATTGCACTAGCCATACCCTTGACAAATGATGACAACTAACCCTGAGGGCTCACCTGTATAATGAGGAAACCTGTCACCTGCAAGGATGCTGAGAGGTAGGAACACACCCAGATGGTCAAGCAGCTGCTCAATCTTCTCAATGCAGCAATTTGAACAACAGACAAGAGAATCATGTTCCCAGAATTCCTGGCTAACTTAGGGTTATCACAAATACATTATCTAACTTTGAGAACAATATTGAATTGATTCATGAATAATGATCTCCATTTCTTTTAAAATGTGAGGCAATAAAATACTGACAAATAACTCACTGCAGGAAGGGAGATGGTTGCAACATGAACATGCTTCCCATATTCGTGGCGAAACTAGGATGTTCTGCTGCTGTACCTTCCCCTGACAATCCTCTGCTCCCTCTCAAATGCCCTCCTTCCCTCATTTCATTTGAAGCCTTGACCCCCTCTTCTGCAACCCTTGGCTGTTCAGATGCAGCTGCTTGGGCTTCCTCTCATAGTGGCTGGGAGAAAGGCTGCAACGCAGCAGCCTGAGGAGCCCCCAGTGTCAGGGTTTTACCCCCCCATTCCCTCCTGACCTACAAGTGAGATTAGGAGAGCATACCCCAACCAAAATGAACCAAGAAAGGAAAAGGTCGACTGACCACCTGCACCCAGCCCTTCCTCCTGGATGACAATCAGACATGTCAGGGAGAACAGTCAAAGCAGGATCTCAGTTTATTGAGAAAACACACACCTAATATAATGTATAGGAGCCAATGAGGATAAAGGTCAGCAGGGTGGGGAGATTCTGAGCCTATCCTAGAGGTGGTCTGATTTTTCGTCACCCCACAGTAATGCCTTCTGGTTGATTGCTAGGTGCTATCTTAGCCACATGTGGCCCCAGGACCAGGAAGCGGGTAGCAGTCATCAAGTTAGGTTTCCTCTTTTCTGATGCAACATGCGCTAGATGTTGCATGCCCTACATCAAGTTAGGTTTCCTCCTTTCTGATGCAACATGCCCCACGTGTTACATCATGCCCTACACCCCAGGATTTTGGACATAGAAATAAAAAGTAATGTTGCCCTGTGTTTTCATTCATCATCAAAATGATATATGCTTGGGACCTAAGAAAGCCTCTCCCTTAGAAAACCTTACATTTCAGTCAAAAGTAAACTTTTAAAAAATAACTTCTATTGCAACTTTACATTTCTATGAACATGAAAAATGCAGAGCAAAACAGAATGGGGGGTGTCTGAGAAGCTGGGTGGGAGGGGGAAGGCTGAATACACTCATGGGTTGCAATGAAGAACATCAGGGGACACTGCCATGAAATCATACTTGAAGAAGGTAGTGAATGAGCAAAGTCACTGGAGATGGCTTAGTATGATTTTCTCAAATAATGATTTCCTGACTCTCACTGTCAACACAATCAAGGCCAGATTATGTGCCCATTGCAAAATATACTCTATCATAGTTGCCTTTATATACTGACCATATACCATGAAGTAAAATAAGGGCAAAAATGTATATATCTATTTCATTCTTTACCATTCAACCATCACCACTATCAATTTCCAGGATCTTTGTATCACTCCTAAAAGAAACTCCAGTCCCATTAGTCATCACTCTCACTGTCTTCTACTCTCAGCCCCTAGCAACTACTACTCTACCTTTCATCTCTATGAATTTGCCTATTTTAAACACTTCTTATAAATTTTATAAGATGTGATCCATTGTGTCACAGTACAGGAACAAAATATTGGCTCCATAAATATTTGCTGAACCAATGGAGAAGCAGTATAGAAAGAAAGAGTTTATGGTCTAGGAAAATATAACAAAATTTTGGAGGTAGGAGAAACTTTAAATGTGATCTACTCCAAATATCTTAATTTTATAGGTGAGGAAATCTAGATTCCAAAAAATTCTGGACTGCTCCAGGGGTAGTCAGACATATAGTGACAGAAGTGAGAATTAAAACACAAAGGTTTTGATTTAAACTGTAGGAGTTTTTGTAGATTGTCTCCCGAAAATAAAAATTCCCTTTTTCTTTCACTTCATCTAATATGATGCAGTGATCAATAGCTCCTTAGGTGTTGGGTTTCTTACTTGCTTGTGTCTAAACATGGTTGGGTCTCTTTCTGGTGTTTTAGGATGAACTTGTTTCAAGAAAAAGACCCAAATCATTTCTCAATATAACCAGGCCCCTTCAACCTCTACTATTTGGTTGCTTCTATTGTTTTTCCCTTTAAGCAAGTGTTTTGTGGAGATCTCCTACTAAAGTACAAGCCCTGATTAATTTTGAAAGCTCATAGGCTGACAGCTCCAGGAAGTATGACTCAAGAGTTCACGCATTCTCAGAGAATAGCTCTGACATGTATTATATCACCTTGTTTAGATTCATTATCTAAAAACTAAAAAGATATTTCTCAACTATGGATCTTAGGAACAGAACTCTAAAATGTCTTTTGCTTATATATTTGTTTACATACTTGATACACAAACATGTGAAATTCTATAGGGCATCCATTCACTTTTGTTTGATATGTTTTCTCTGTGATGAGGATTGATGATCTTCTTGATAATAAAGATTTCCATGATCTTTTGGGGGGAAAAAAAGTTGACTCTAGACTTACCTCTTGACCTCCACCTCAAACACTCTATTTTATAATCATAACACAATTACTATTTTGCCCCTTCAGTTTATGAATCCAATACAAAGATTAGCCAGCTGTTGCTTTTTTAATTGAGAAGTAAACCATCTTTTTCCCTCCATTCCAAGTGAAGCAAAACCCACAATCTGTTGAGTTTGTCCAAAAAAGTCATACTTGATAGACTAATGATTTTTTTAACACTTTGAATTTCTATGCATTTTCATCAAACTTCTAAAACCATAG